ACAGTCTGCTTTTAAAATTTACAAATAGTCTCTTACAAATGTTCTCTTGTACAAATTGCAACCCTAGATGAGGTCCTTTTATTTGTTATGCACAAACAATATGAGGCAAAACCTCAGTAGCTATTTTCGTAATTATCCGCAACTGATTTGAAACACAAATTCCTTCCTTTAGACAGACTCCAAGCCTTCGGGTAGTAAATTGTTGTCCTCACTAGGTGATAAGAATTTGCGGCAGGCGTAAAATAAAGCAGAATGGAAGCCAGTCGGATTATCTATGAAGATAAAATGGCCACCCTGCAACAACAGTGGAAACATTTTCTTACCAGTAAATAGACACATCTTGGCAGTTGCCCACAAAACGCACACACGCAAAAAAATAAAAAAATAAAAAAAATAAAACACTGGATTGCTATGTGTACCTGAGGAACCCTAATAATCTCACAGGGGACATTCATATGCTTCCGAGCTTGTTGAGCTCCTTCATAATTCATCCAATCTTGGAACCCATATATGAATGCTGTTGGAACCTTCCAATCAGATGCACTGCATGCGAAAGATTCTAATTTGTTAAATTTATTTAGGAATGGAATTTTGTTGATAAATACACTCCATCTAATCAATTTCCTAGAAGTAATTCAGCATCTGCGCTATTTGAAGTTTAATAATGTACAGTAGTTGACTGAATCGATGAACAAAGTTCCAGCAAACACATTTGCATTTTCTCGTCCAACTAATTAATCAGTTTCCCATGTGCAGAAAATTCACATCACATTGTTGACAGACATCAAATATAGATACACTTTTCATAAAATTGTTTACCACCAATAAAGATAATCTTGTCGGGAGCGTAGTTATCTAACTCCAAGTCTAAAGAGAAAGTCACATAATTCCTAAAGCAAATTATTGCCAATTAGGAACAAACAAGAATGTTTTCAAGTCTTTGTTCCTTTAATTTTTCTACATTTCTCATGGTTGGCAGGGGATGAGGTTCTGTTAAATAAATATTTTATCAACTTCTGATGCGAGCAATAATTAATTGAGTTTTAATCTTTATTAAAAAATTAAAATTACTCTTGCTACAGTTCAAAGCAGTCATAAGAAGGCTCATTTGTTGGTTTCCGATTTTACTGATCATTTTTTCTCAAAATATAATTCCAATCCACATCTGTATCCCAATCATAAGACACAACATAAGATGCTGCACTAACTTCACAAAGTGCGCATCAGTAAGAAAAATTAAAATCATACTAGAAATGAAGGCAAAAGGGTTTCAGGTACAATCGTAAAGGTGATACTAGGAGGCATTCCCAACTAATAAATCACTGCAGAGGCATGAAGCAACTCACCAGTGTAAAAGTGGACTCCGAGCAAAAGCCCCAAAGGAGAATATATGTTTCAAGCACAACTCTCCACTAGCTTTAGCCGCCAGAGTATGATATACATAATCTTCGGCCAGCAAAGAGAAAGAGAAGTCTCAGATTAGAAGAAAACTGAAGATCGAGTGAAATCAAACAAGTTAATCAAAAGCTACCTGTAAGTAGACTAGACTCATTGTCAGTTAACATAGTTCCTTGAGCATATGAGCCAAACCTAGCACTCGTGTACCTGCGAACTAGATTTGGGCCCCAAGGACCTAAACCCCTGCATTATTAATAAAAGGAATCAAGCCCCTTAAAAGAATACACGTTTTCCAACCTGATAACGAGTAGTGATACAATCTATTGCAGGACATGTAATCCTTGTTAAAACTGTAAAACTAGAAAAGCTAAAAACTAAAACAATAAGATAATAACCATACTCTGTACCTAATTATTTTCTGTGGCGTAAAATTAGACTCCCATAGATGATTCAGAATAGCACCTTTCCAAGTTGCTCTAAATTGAGTAAGCCTTTCAGACATGTGCTCTGTTTCAGAAGAAAATCCAGCAGGTCCAACTAAAACCAACTGCTGAACGTGCTCAGGGTGCTGTACAAAGGCATTGAAGGTAAATAAAAAATGGTAAAGTAATTACACCCACAGGGATGCGCCATTAAACTTAATAAATTGATAATATAAAACAAAAGAAAAAAAAAATATTCATATACCTTGAGAGCGTATTTAGCAGCCACATATCCTCCGAAGGAGTGTCCAAGTAAGATAAAGTTGGTTAAGTTTTTAGCCTTGCGCCATTCCTCAAAAGAATCAATGAACCAAGCCTCAGTTTCTGCATCAAAACTCACAATCATTACTCACAGCAAATGTCCCGAAGAAACCGAAAATCAGTAACTACCACATTTTTCACAAGATAGTTAACATTAATGAACCAACTACCTTCAGTGCTTTTACATGAGAAATCAGGCCTGCTGGATCCACCCCAACTGCACAAAATTTTTCAAATGTTAGTACACACCAAAGCTATTTATTAAGTCTTCTTCTTATCTAACCACAGCTTGTTATTCTATTCCACCTTTATTTCACAAGAAAATAGGGATAAATCAACAGTAAAAATAGATGAAAAATGATGTTCGTTCCCCCAACTTCCCTTCTTCTAGAGTTTCTCCTATTTTTTCTCAGAAAATTTGCAAAAATTATTATGTTGACCAAGTCCTCAAGCCAACGGCAAATGGAGAAAACCATTCAAAATGGAATTCAAAACTCACCCTAGCTGATCAATTGCGATAACTTTGAAATGCTTAGCAAGAGCATCAAAATTGCGGAAAAAGAAACCCTGAGAAGCAGCGTATCCATGGACCATCACAAGTGTCGGTGACCCTTCTTTGCCATCAAACGTGACGGTATTGATAAACCTCGGCTCGTCGCTTGCAGAACGGAACCATCGAGTTTTGGAACCCGGCGGGCCAGACCCAATGTTGACCAGCTCCTGCTGGTACGGAGTCCTACAAATTGACCGCCAATTTGGTTCATTAGCTCGAATTGACTAATGCGACACAATTTAGGGCTTTCTTTTTTCCGCATTTAACAAATTCTAATTACCTGACGAGGGACAGTAGGCGTTTTTCGGCGGCGATGATGTGGTCGGTGGAAGTTGGTATCCACCGGAGCACGGATGGCCACAGGGAGCGCCTCTTTGCCGAGGCGGCGCCGGTGGCGGTGGCGGTGGCCGCGGATGAGGCAACTTCCTCCGCCATTTTGGACAGCAAAATCGAGGATGATTTTGATAATCTTCGGAGATTAAAGCTCATGCGAAGAAGGCACAGCTTCTCTCGCCGATCGATGTTTAGGAAATTGGAAATGATTGTTCGTTTCTCCAATCAAAATTGGTCGCAGATAAAATAAGAAACTTGAAAACAATTCATTTATATAGCTGTAGTTTAATACAGGCTTTTCTTTTCTTTCTTTACTGGAAAATTGGTCCTATTTGGCTTGTCGCCCAAGATTAACNAATAAAAATAGATTGGTTGCGTGAGTGCTGACGTAGGTAACTACGAGGCACGTAAAATGAAATAAGGGAAGTGGAATTAGTAAAATAAAACATGTTGTAGATGTGATTGAACATATTTTTACTCGTGAAAAGGTTTTGATTGGTAAATAAAATTGGTATTAGAATTAACTTTTTTTTAATGTAAAAATAGTATAAAAATATAATTAGTTGAATTAATAGTAAATTTAAAAACAAATGTTTAGTAATGCACGAGAACTTCTAGCAGCCAAAACCCGAGTGCCGAGACCTCCCAGTATCCACCAGTGCCGAGAACTTCTAGCAGCCGCAACCCGAGGCATTTCAGCGCCTTGTTCCCTCATTTTATCCCGGGAGAAATGTATCCAGTTTAAGCCCGAGTTATCCCTTATTTGGTCGTGTTCAATAAGTTTTAATTTCAGAAAAAGAAGAAGAACCTAGCATGTTAAAATATTTGATAACATTTAAGAAGAAAAGAAAAGAAAAGAAAAGAAAGAAAGAAAGTAGCATTCTCTTGTTTTGTTGAAGTTTTTTGTTGAGCCGTTTAGTATGGTTTTCATGATGCAAAATGAGTTAAGTTTCATAAAAGAAGAATCAATATGCATGCCTTAAGATTTAATTGCAAAATTAATAAATTGAAGTGAAAAAGAGGACTCTAGCCTTGGCCTTAAGTTTCTAAGTTCTCGAGCCTTTAGCCTTGGTTAGAAACAGGTTTTCATAGGCTTTTTAGAACTCCAACGGTTATCGAAGAAACCTCCAGCCGGCAAAAATTACCGGAGAAAGGCCTCAGTCGGCAGCAGGCCCGAGCAGATCCGGGTCGTAGTACCGCAGAGACCCGCAGTGTTCCGCAGACGACCGAGCAACACGCCCCAACGCCCGCAGAGACCTGCAGTGTCGTTCCCATGTGCGCAGAGACCCGCAGTGCTCCGCAGATGACCACGCAACTCGCCTCAGCGCCAGAGACCCGCAGTGCTCGCTCATGTGTCCACAGACAGTAGATGCTTCCAGGTGCCCTGTCTGTGACTCGTGACGTCCCAGGCACTCCCAGGTGTCGCGCCCGCGTGACCCCGTGCCTCAGCTCCTATGCGCCCGTGCAACGACGCTGCAACGTCCGAGCCGTGACCAGTGCGCGCCCGTGCATCCCAGGAGACCCGCAGCGTGCCATTGTCCTCCCAACAGCTGAACCAAGTTTGTGCTACCAATATCTAGTAGCCAGCAGCGCTCAGCGACCTAGGTCTCCCAGTGCGCATCACCTAGTAGCCCTGTACCAACAGCGCCCAACATCCTAGGTCCATTCGGTAGTAGCCGAAGCCAAGCTTTGCCGAGCCGGGTCGGACCGTGCAGTAAGCCGTCTGGTTCCGACCCGTGCAGTGGATCAGTTTTTCCAAGTCTTAGGATTAATTTATCTGAGAATTCTAGTCGAGCTTAGAAAATAAGAAAAAGCAAGAAGAGAAGTTAATTAATTGAATTTAATTAAAGTATTAAGCAATTAAATCAAGCATTTATCTTAATAATTCTTTAAGTAAAATATCGTATTAAATAATCTCTTAACTGTAGATAAAGAGAAGTCGAGCCCTTTAGAAGATCATCGAGCATTCATTCATTCATCTTCATTGAAGGTGGGGATTCTGTATTACGCTTTAATTCTCTAAATTCGCAAGGTATGTATGTGAGTATTTTTGCCTTCGCGGGCGATGCCTGAGCGGGGCATCAATTATTAGTTAGATCTCCCAGTGAGAGGATGGCCAGTTTTCCCATCTTCTCGTCGGTAAATGTGTCTACACATGAGATAGACTCGATGTGAGGTGGAGAAGCATCTCCTTAACCCGCCGAGGGAGCAGCAGTTGAGACCCGTTTATTCATGTTCGTGCTAATATTATGATATCTGTTACTATGGCGAATAATCGCGGCTTAACAGAACTCATCCCTCTGTTTAGACATGGTCCTGAAGGCGACATTGCCGACTCTTTTGTTCTTCCCTTCGCCACCCCCCACCCCCTTAGGTTGATCGAGTTGGTGTTGGACACGATTGGCGAGGGTGGTCATTTTGTGTTATGCAGTTTATGCTTCTGTTAAGATTATTAAGACTTAATGTTTTTCAGACTATTGCATGAGTTTGAGACTTGAGACTATGTTATGAATGTTTTGAGGTTTTAAGTAATGTTGCATGCCTCAGTATTTTTATCTGAGCAATTGAGATAGCAGTTGGGAAGAGAGTTCCCATATTAACTTAAGTGAGTGGCTTTAATTAAGATTTAAAAAGTAAAGCAGTTTATCATCAAGTTTAGAAGATGTTTTTCAGCAAGTTGTGAAAAGAAGCTTTTCAGTAAGTGCCCTAAGAAAAGTTTAGAAGTTAAAAATGTTTACGAAAAAGTCAAAATTTCTTCTAAAAACTTAGTGCTTTTCAGAGGGTGTTTTACACTCGAGCTCGAGCCTTAACAAGCCGATCTCGAGCTTTAACGAGCCAAACTATAAAAAATAATATAAAAATTCTTTTTTCGAGCCTTATTGAGTCGAGTCGAGCTCAGCTTGTTAACCAAACGAGCTTTAAATGAGCTTGAGCTCGACTCGTTAAGGCCTTGAGCTCGAGCTTTAACAAGCCGAGCCAGGCTCGTTTAATTTAACAGCACTAGAGGTACGTAAACTATGCGAATAATATGAGAAAACATCTTTTTCGTATATGCGATATGTGATATGGATCTGTGAAAAATGACGAATAGCCGTAAATTATGCAGTTTTTGATTTGAAAATGCGATTCGTCAATATGCGAACATATTACGCATAATCGTTAGTTACACGGCGTTATAGATTTAGATAAGCGAGTCGTAGACTATGCAAAAAATGTCGCATAATCATAAATATGTGACATTCGATTTAGATATGTGATAACTATATATGCAAATTTTTCTCGAATATGTTAAATTATGTGGTCGGTTTGGATATGCTTATATGCAAAACTTTATTCCCGTATGATAATTATTCGGTGAATTTGGATATGCGATAATTATATATGTGAAATTTAATCCTGTATGGTAAATTATGCGGTAGATTTGGATATGCTATAACTAAATATGTGAAACTTTCTCCTATATGGTAAATTATGCGGTGGATTAGAATATGCGATATGGAATTATGCGAACGTGTTTCGCAAGCTATGCGTTTGGATGTGTCGGCATATATGCGACAAAATCTTGCATAATCACAGTTCATTTGGATATGTGATTTTTATATCGCATATCATTTCGTTAGTTTTGGGGTGAAAATAAAGTTTTTTTTTTTTTTTCATTACAGAGTAACAGAAAGTGCATGTACATAATGGGGTGTAAAAGATGTCTGCCCATAGGTTTAATTTGTTTTTTAATGTAAATATTGACTTAAGTATTTGTATGATAAGAGAAATTGAAACTTGAATTACATCAACAAAAAAAATGAAATTTTCAAAATACCAATAGTTTTTGCAATGATAGTACTTTAAAATGAGTACTTTAGATGATACTTTAAAATGATATTCTCTCCTATTTTTAATAAATGTCGTTTTGAGAAGTTGCACAGTAATTAAGAATTTTTTTTGTGCCAATAATAACTCTCTTTAATGAGGATAGAGATTGATGTTTTGAGAAAAAGATGAAGAGTGAATTTGAAAAGACGTAGTTTATTTATTAGCTGGATGAGAATAATAATGAAAAAATATGTACAAATATCCAAACCGTCACTTATTTGGTTACTTGTTAATAAAGCCAAAATGACATTTAAAAAAAAAAATAGGAGGTAGTAGTACTTTAAAATGAGTTTAAAAATTTTCTTGATACTGATAGTTTTCGCACGGAATTCTCACTAGTTTGAAATGATAGTACTTTAAAATGAGTTGGAAAATGAATGTTTCGATTTGGAGATAATCTAAGTGAATTGTATGAGGCTCGTACAATAAAACGGTTTCAAGCCAGTTCCACATTAATCCACAGCATTAAATACACAACAATATAAATGTTTTTGTTTTTTGTCATAAACAACTAGTATTCGATCCTGTGCATTTGCACATATGTAAATGAAGTATTATAAGTTATTTGTATGAATATAATATTAAAATTATAAGTTAGATAATAATATCTATTAATATATAAAGAGGGAATGATAGTTTTTCGAAAAAATCATGTAGAAAATCAAGAAAAAAAAATATTTCAATTCCCGCCTAAAGTTTACTATAATGAGAAAGATTTTTGGCAAAAAATTGAAATAAGCCCGCCCATATACAATTCGAATTTTTTGAAAGATTTTTTTCATTGTTTTCTCTATATGCCTGCTGATTATTTGTTTATCATTAAAGATATGGTGAGATTTTTTTGCCATAATCTTATCTCATCTTACTTAAGTATGCATCTCCACTAAAAATCGCCGCTATTATCTCGAGAAAAAAACCTACATAATGAAATCTTCGCTCATTCTCCGGAAGGACCGTGAAACCCCCAATTCTCAAGGCGATTCCCCTAACCATCATCGGCGTCCACCTCTCTTCCACCGATATCGCCGTTGGTGATCGCCACAAGCTCTCCATCAACTTCGAAGTCAGGCTCGGGTCGGGCCCACTCTTAAGTTTAGCTACAGGTCCGTGAAGACCGACGTCGGGATATTCGGTTCGCCTTCCTAATACTTTTCTGGGATGAGAACTGGTTTTGTTATGATAGATGGTTGATCATGTCTTGAATAGTCTTGAACCATTATTCTTTTGTTTTTCTTCATTGTCCTGTCATCTTTTTAATATCGTCAATGTTTGTTCTTGTAGCTTTGCAGGGACTTTTAGTGAAAAAGGTCACGAGGACTGTCAGACAGTTTTCTCCTCATTTGGCAGCAAAGATGAGACCTCCTCTCACGTAAGTATAGTTACTACTAAATTTGCGTATCATCTGTTTCTGGTTCTTACATGGGCGTGTAATTTTAGACCTGTTATTCGAGGGCGCCCATCTGCAAAACGAGCAATACATATATGTGGACAGCCTCGATGGGTATTCGTCTTGGTATTTTCTGCAAGTAAGAGATATCTTCTCTTTCACATATTGTTTACTTTGCATCTTGGGGGATGTACTGTCACATGTTAATAACTATGCCTTCTTATTCCGCTTTGCAGTGAGTTTCTTCCTCTGGTTTGCTTCATGTGGTATTCTCATGGTCTTATGGGCCTTTGCTATTGGACTTCTTGGTAACTCAAAATTTCATTTTCTTATGCGTCTTTGCCCTCTGAATTTATTGGCTCTAACTTGCTTTCTCTGCCACAGCCACTCTCATTCACGCGAGCTTTAGAACACCCAACTTGAAAGCTCGCCTGAACACATTCCGTGAAGAATTCCGTGCCGTTTGGCATAATTATAGTGAGCTGTAGCTTGTCTGTAGCAGAACACATGACAGGTAATTCAACATATATCCACTTATGATTGATAAACCATATCACTTCATCATATCCATTTATATACAGTCCTTTTGTTTTAGCTGGTGCCAGATAGTCTTCATCATCTTCACCCTTTTTGGTTGCATTACCTTCTGTAGTGTACTTTTCACGGTGCTTCTGAAAAATAGTCAGGGTGGGTTATCATGTTTAAGCCAGTTGGCTTGCCGATACCCATATGGAATTTGAGGCTCTTACTGAAGATCGTCACTGATACATGTTTTCTGTATAGTCTACCTTATGTTGAATACTATTGAATTATTTTCTTGAACGACTGAGTTAATTTTTCATCACCATGAATCTACCAAAACTTTTAGGTCCATCTCATTTTTTATTGGTACGCTTTTGCTGGATGTAATCGAGATTTACTTTGAAATCTGTCATGATCTAGGAGGGTGTATTTGAGCAGCTCTGTTTCTCATTCATGGCTTAATGTGCGTGATTGGTGGGTTACTGGCAAATAGAGAAATCAATTTGTTTTAAGGGGATAATAGATTGATATCTTTTTACGTGGTGTATTAGACTAAGGTAGCAGTATTCTCAAATTTTCCGACTACAGAGCATCCAGATAGTAAAACGGTGTCATTGGAATTATAATCTATTGGTCATTGATATCCAAATTCTCTTATTACCTGGACCCTGCATTTCTTCTCAAAAATTTTCCGAATCACCAATTTTGAACTTATTTGATGTTGTGGACGCTCCTGATATTCCTCAACTCTTTATTTATTTATATCAATCTTTTGTGGAACCTGTTTTCTCGAAAATTGAAAGTTAGCCATCTTATATTACTTTGCCTCTATGGTCTATGCTTCAAGAGTGTTGTTTATGAAGTTTATGAATGCCCTTTTGCTTCGAGTATTTATGAAGTTCATGAAGATAATCAAATAACGCTTTTGTGTGATCTTCTTCCAGCCAGCTGCTGAATATCGAGGTTAGAATTACTTGCTGTTTTTTTTTAATATATATTGTTAGAAGTACTTGTTGTTGCTGGTCTTATTACTCTGTCTCAATTGCTTTGAGATGTGAGACAAGTTTCAGATAATGTAAATTTTGAGCTTGGTTTCTTTACAATGTCTCAGTTGAATGTTGAAAGAGATCTTATTTTTAGACTTTGTTCTGCTTATCTGGTTTCGACTGTGTTTACTTACCGAGAAGGTCATAGAATCTTGCGAGATAATTAAAAATCTTAGGAACTGAGGGAATCGGTTGTTTAGCGAGGAAATAGTTTGAAAATCCTCGAGAGCTCAACAAGGAATATTGTCGGGGAGACGGTTTACAGAGATGCTGACATAACCTCAGAAGAAATATAAGTAAAATCAAATCCTTAACGAGTTCAGCATGTCATCTTGATGCAATTCTCTCAACGATTCTACAAGGAGAATTGATAATCCTGTACGGTAATGGATTTATACTTCTGATACAGATTCGTTTTTTCGGAGTAACGGCGGCGACTAACATTTACGAGGTATCCATAGACGGTCCTTTTTCAATTTCATTCCTGTTTTGCGCGAGTATAGCCCTATCTTTCAAGTGTTGGCGCGAGTATAGCCCTATCTTTCAAGTATAGCCCTATCTTTCGAGTATAGCCCGATGGTAAACAACCCCAGTAATGTCCTTTGGATGACATCTGAATATTTTGTATCAGCACACCAATTTGAAACCCAAAAAAAAAAATAAAAAATTACAAACATCACTTGCAACAATCAATAATTTGTGGTAATTTGTGCTACAATTTCCATCATATTTCCAAGTTACTTGAAAGATAGGGCTATACTCGCGCCAACACTTGAGATCGTAGAATCTATAAATGCATACATGTCGTCGTTGAATTTGACTGAAGGACACACGTATTTAAGCTCAGACATTACGTGTAAATCTGACTCCAATATCAACTTTCTGGCACAACTCCATACTCCTGAGTTCTTGAATACTATCAAGTGTTCTGGAACACCGAATCATGAGTTGAATTTAAAGGTTGGAACTTCAATTATGTTGTTGCAGAACATGGATCACTCAATGGGACTCTGCAATGGTACACGATTGGTTGTGACCAAACTCTCCAATTATGTTCTCGAGTGTAAAATTCTTACTGGCGATCATGCAGGTGATAAAATTTTGATACCTCGAATGACCATAACGCCTTCGGACGTTAGAGTACCATTCAAATTCCAAAGAAGGCAGTTCCCCATTATGGTTTCGTATGCAATGACTATAAACAAGAGTCAAGGTCAATCCTTATCTCATGTTGGCTTATTCTTGAAGAAACCAGTTTTTAGTCATGACCAATTATATGTCGCTGTCTCTCGTGTTACTAATAGAAAGAGTCTGAAAATTTTAATTTGTGGCGAAGAAGGTTTGAAAGCAAATCAAACCAATAATGTTGTGTATAGAGAAGTGTTTAATAATATATGATTTTTTTTTCGTTGTATTTCTCTCTTTTTTTTTCTATTACAATCAAATTATTAATTTATAAACAAAAATATTAAATAAAGTTCAGAAAAAAAGGTTTAAGGAAATAACCTCATCGTATTGCGCACCGGTACTACACTATATTTCCCAAAACGTATACAGTCCGTGCATCGCACGGATTACGTACTAGTTATATTTTAAACATAGGGTATTATAAGTTATATTTATGCATATAATATTAAAAGTATAAGTTCAATAAAGGTATTATATTTTAAAATTTGATCATTGGTTAAAATAAATAATACATAACGATTTGATTGTATATGAATTACTATATTGATTGCATAAAATAAAATAAATAATGTATTTTTTGAAATTTTAAGGGACTATGACTAATTAATTAGCTAAAAAACATTAAATTTATTATAACAATTGCTTATGCGATTTTAAGTAATTTTACTATGTCATTAAAAAAATTAATTTATTTAAAATCTAATCGCTTAAGCAGATAACGAAATATTATATTGATTTTATAATAAATTACTCGAACAAAAAGTTTTTACAATATAGTTTCTTATGTTTATGTAACTTTCACATATAATTTAGTGTAAAATATAATTATTAATTGTAATAATAACTATTATATGATACAATTTCTATAGCTGGTGAATTTATTTTGTATTCTTGTTAGTGTATTTGCCCATGTTGTACATGTGCCGCATTTTCCATTTTCATCATGATTAATTATTGTAGTGATATCATCAAAAACAATAGATATTCCAAATAAACATTTATAAAAATTTCTTTTAAAAATTTATATTATGAATACATGCTTATGTAATCATGAGTTTCTATAATAAATAATTTATAATTAAGTTAGCATAGTAATGATTATATAAAAAATTAAAAAGTAAATATTTTTAGCTAATTAACCTAAATTGATATACTTATATAAAATAGTGGTCATTAGTTTAGATTTTGTAACTGTCCAAAATTGATGTATTTTGTAAAAGTAACGGTTTTTGTATTTGGAAAGTTTGTATTATTTATTAGGTAAAATTTATTAAGTTTTATTTATGAGGTAAAATTAAATGAAAGGCTAGCAATTATATATATATAGATATAAATATTAGTGCTATGATTTAATAAATTAATATTCGAGTCAAAATTAATGGCCAACAGGAATAGAATTTCGAGTCAAAATTAATGGCCAACAGGAATAGAAAAATCATGAGATGTAGAAGAGCATTTTCATTAGTGTTTATACCACGTTAAAGTTCACACAAGCAGATTGCTTGGCATGGTGCAAATGGGGCGCACATAAGAAATTGATAAATCTGAGAGAACTAATCAAAACGTGTAAGAGATCATCGCCCCAAAGCAGCTCATGAAGCTCAAACTTACTGTAACTTCCACATAACCCGAAAGAATAACATGATTTCCAAGAATACTTGGATCGAGTGGAGTTAGATGTACGTAACGACTTATTGATATAAATAATAAACGGTTTTCATTGACATCTGTAGACATGCTCAAATCCAAACACGCTCTAATTAATGGTATACACTGCAACCTTGATCTCACTTTTGATTTCTCATTGACCGATTCTAACTTGACCCCTCAACAAGTGTCCTTGCCCCTTTCAACTTGTGAAGTGTAAGATAACTTACAAACAGTCTTACTCTCAACTTCAAAATCGACAGATCTAGCTAGTCTGACGTATATAGCACAAGTAATTGTAATTACATTCATTGTAACTCTACAACTCCTCCAAATCTTAATCAACACAAATTCTTATACCAATCATACTCTGAACAAAAATGCACACTTCACTATCAAATATCAGAATTTTGTTCATTTTGTTTTTCGAATTAGTACATTTTCTAATGAAAGTATTCATATTTATTAAAAGAGCATACCGGCCTAATGAATACGGGAAAATCAATCATCACCCTGCTCTTTTAAGCTCACAAAATTGTTTGGGATATGCACAATATTAATTAAGATGAAGGATAGGGCCTTGCAATTTCTCATTAACAAACCAACAAGAAAACCAAAAGAACACAACTATGGTCAAATGGTTAACAAATTGAAGAACAGAACTTGTCAAACCCGGAGGCAAAACTAGCATATCACGCAAAGTGCTACTCGAATAAGCTATCATCCATCAATAATAATAATAATAATAATAATAATAATAATAATTACCACAATCTCATGCCATGCTGTCGAGCCTTGAGGCAACAAGACGCAGCTTGGAGTAAACCCTAGCTGCAGGCGAACCCATGATCAGACTACAAAGACAACTCCTCGCAATCTTAATACGGGCAAAAGGTCCCATCACATGAATCCGCTTATCAGCAATCACAATCCGAGTCTTAGTGGCATTCTCGATTGCAAACTTTGTCTTACCCGATTTTCCCGAAAGCCTGCCCACCGCACGCGACAGGTGCTCACCACTTAGCCTCTTCACATCTCTTATCTCAAAAGAGTCAATGTACAACTCATCGTAACTCAGCATAAGCTTCGCGTCAGGTACATCAAAACCGAGAACAAAGGCATGGACGAAATCCGCGCATCTCTGAAGGTGGCCGATATCGGGAGTTTCGCGCTTGTTTTTCAGCTCTACACGACGGGCTTTCAGATTCATGCGGATGTCCACATTCATGACATTGTAGACTTTGTCGTAGATTATATCCCAGGCGTCCTTGAGGGGTTTGAGGCGGTGGGATGGGACCGGAACCTTCCGGAACTCGGCCTGTTTGCCTTCTGTGATTTCATGGGCCTTCAGAGGGTCGAAAATGGGCTTTTTCGGTGGAATTATTTCGGGTTCCATGGCTGGACTTACCTGAATTGAACGAGGAAAAAGGAATTGGATAGAGAATCTGGAAAATTAAATCAATTAGCAAGAATAATGTAATACAGAAACAGAGTAGTCCATGTACATCATGGATTAATGTGAGGATTTGGCAAATTTTTTTTTCATCAAATTAAATGTTTCTGTTGGAAAAATATGAGTAGCTGAGTACAAAGAATAGACAATTACACTAAAACATCCTAGGTATTATTATGGTTACAGCACAGCCATCATACAAAGACCATAAACCACAAATATCAACAGCAGTCACATTTTATTTATTTTTTTCAATGAAAAAACTTTCACCAAGAAAAGGTATAAAATCCACATAAATAATTCTGCTTCGCTTAACTTCTGCCTACAACCACAGGACATAAACTACACCACTGCTTAAAATCGAAATTTTTTCCCGTCCAGATAGGCAAATTAACAATTACATTTCTTACAGACATACTATTCTCATCATCATCCAACACGAACATAATTTTTTTATAGAATCACAATTCCTCTTAAACATTAACAGAGTAGAAGCGAGATAGAGCGATAAAAGACGAGATCAGGATAATGACGAAACCTATAGATGCAAAGAAGAATCTTACTTTGAATTTTGAGCGAGCCTGTGTACGAATTTTAGGTAATGCCTGCCGACGGCGAAGGGAGAGAGGAGGAATAGGTTGTGTCGAGTGAGATGCGGTGAGATGACAGGGGAGGCGCTTTTCTTGTTTCTTGGGTTAGGCACTTAAATAATGATTTAGGCGATCCGCTCTTTGACGGTCAAACAATATTGGGCCTTCTAAACCATGACTATTGACTAGTGCATCACCTGAAGCAATATTAGTACGGATCCGAGATAAGTAATATTAGATTCATAAATTAAAAATAAATATTAAAGAATACTTATAAGTCAAAAAATAAAAATATATGATAAATATGTAATTGGATTTATTATATATTATTAATTTCTTGTATATGATAATCATTCTTCATTATTAATTTGTTGGAAATTAACAAATGCTAAATATTTTCAATTAATTAAAACTAATTGAAAATTAATTTGTGTAAAAGCATATAAAACTTGTCTATACAAAATATTATAAGTACCTAAAAAGTTATGTATCATGTATAAAAATATCTAAAATATTTTATCGTATATGTGGGAATTACTTAAGGCTACATTGGGATTGATGATTTTATTGAGAGGATTTGAAATCTATTTACAAGTTTAAATCCATATGCATGTTCGGATAATAATTGAAATTGGAGGGTCTTAAATTCACGCTAGATAAATTTTAGTCATTATTTTGATTGATTTTAAATGACACTTCAAATCTATTCAATTGAAATCCACTGTTTATCCCACCGTTTACGGTCACACCGTCCGCGAGTATGGCTCTTCATTTAGATTCATCACTACCGTGAGTCGAACACCATCGATGCGAGATAAACAATGAATTTATAGTCATTTTCACAAATCCATTGAGGAGTTTGAAAGTAGAAAAATTGTATTTTAAAAAATTCAAACCAGAGGATTTAAATCTCTCAATCCAAACGATAGCCTAAAATTTTTTAAACTATTCTTGAAAAACAATTGTATGCTATTCTTGAATCAATGTCTACCTACACAAATAAAATAAATAAGACTCCCATTTCATATCACATGATTTTTATTATATAATAAAATAAACTAAGATTGTTTATATACCTGCCATGAAATAAATATATATAATTTACTTGGCCATATCTTATCAATGAATACTTAAAATGAAACCAAGATGTCAGATTTAAGTTGAATTAAAAAAAAATACGCACGATTTTTATTTGATTTAAAAGGTATTTATTTTTACCTGATTTAAGAGGTTATTTTTTCGATGATATTATATTAAATAAGTACATGAATTTTTAAGGAAAAAAATCCAATAAAACCAAGATTATGAAATTTGTATTTTTTGTATTCTTTGAGGATTCATGTGTAAAATCTTATGTTTGTACTTTATTCTCGTTAGATATAGGTCGTGGCATTTGCTTTGATTATATATTATTGGGATTCACGATGTTTTGATGAACTGTTGNAAAAAAAAAAAAAAGGAATAAAAGGTGAGTTCACGAGGTAAGTACGGATTAGGCTTCTCTTGTCTTGATTCACATTGTGGAATGGATAACGAGTACGAGAAATAGGTCTAGGAGACTTCGAGTGAGCCCCCGAGGGTACACCTATATAATAATCATCTAAAAATCCTCGTTTGGAAAAAGTGGCTCACGAGAAAAGAAAAAAAAAAGAAGAAGAAGAAGAAGAAGAAGACGAAGAATGAATAAGAGAGAAGAACTGTCATTGTTACCTTTGATCTTATTTGATTATGTATTGACTTGGCTTGTAGTCCCTTGGTTATGTTGAAAATCCTAGCATTTGGTGACCAGGGGTAAACTTATGTGGACATGGGTAGTTTTATACAAAGTTAGCTTGTGATGAGTCGACCATGTGTGGAAAAGCATTGGACGTGTTTATATGATTCTAATTATGGTGGACATATTTTCAAATTGAATGTTGACTATAAGAATATCTGGGTAAGATGAGTTTGACATACTTTGGGACAGGATAAACGAGTAAACAATTTTATCTTTTTGAAAAGTTAGCGGATTGTTTGCTTGAGGACAAACAAAAGGCTAAGTGTGGAGAGTTGTTTTGTATGTTTTTGTTGTTTTTTATGTGTTTTTAAGCATTTTATTTGTGCTCGTTTTGAATTATTTTAGGTTTTTCCCAGTCAATGTAGTCATTTTTTTGCTCGTGTTTGTCTTTTGGTGTCTTGTGTTTTTTATTTCTCTTTTTATCTTTTATCTTGTAGGAAAATTGCGCTCCAAAAAGTCGACGAGAAATTCACCGAAAAATGCTAGAAACTCGCCCAAACAAGAATGAATTTTCACGAGAAGAGTCGTACGTCCAGCGAGCTTGAGACGAGCACCCAACATTGGGCCAAGCATCCAGCGAGTTAAAGTTGAGCACATAGCAGCAAGCTGAGTACCCAGCGAGCTTGAGCCGAGCGCCAGCCAACCGCGCGAGCCACGCTCATCGACATCGCCCGACATCGCTCATCAACACTCGTACATGCTCGCATGTAGCTGCCTAGGTCATTGCCCATGCATGCACTCGCGCGCATAGCTCGGAAGCACATCACCCAGGCCATCCTTGTCCACGCCACCTAGCACGCCTCTGCGTGCCCATGCGATGTTGTTGAGGCCCGCGTGCATCACTCCCGTTGTCGAGACTCGCGACTCGTGAATTTTCTTGCCAGGTCGCGAGTTTCCAAGTCAACGCCCGTCAGGCTACACTGCCCGCGAGTAGCAATCTGCATGCACGCGAGTGTTGCCTAGCTCGACAGTCTAGGTCGCACATCAACACTCTCCCGCGGACACGTGTTCACTTGCTCGCAAGTCTCCTAGCCAAGCCCGCAAGGTCGAGAGTCTCCCACCCAAGCATGCATAACTCGCCCACCAACCGTCTTTCGCAACGTCGCGAGTGCGCCACAAGTCCCCTACTCCAGCTCGCCAAAGATACTCGCCTGTCAATGCCTGTTCGTCGAGCCGCGAGTTCTCTCATTAAATGTGTATTTTTCAATGTGTGTTTTAGGCAGTAGTATAAATAGGCTTAGTCCTTTGTATTTTTTAAATTGCTTCCTCATCGGGAAAATTTCTCCTTTAGTTACCCTCTCTCTCTCTCTCTCTTTAATTTTCTCACTTGGAAAACTAAGGGTCCCAAGACACGATTTTTATTGTTCTAATTCTTCACCACGATTGCGCCTTCCTGTATATTTATAATCACGGATGCGGCTACAGACTTTGAGACTTAGTCTAAGGTCCAAAATCTCGTATGTTTTTTTGCCTTTACGTGTTGGATTTTCTAGGGTAAAGGCTTTCATGAGTATAATAGGCTATCATCGTCAAAGGGTAGGGAATATGTCATTTTTTCATTGATTGCGTGAGCAAAAATTAAATTTAGAAGTTCGATTAGTCCATCTCGAGTGACGATTGGTTTATTGCATGTTTCTGAATCTTTGAGTGTTTCTTCCACCTATGGTCTTAGGGTCTTTCTTCTCTTTATTGCAATTTGATGACTTACTTGCATTCTATAAATAAACAAGGATGACAGATTTACATCGGTGATACCCTAAAATGTGCCGATCTAGGTTGGCCCATTAAACGAGGACGACATGGATGATAGATTTACATCAGTGACCCTGAAATCACAATACGCTACACTAACCTAAACATATCGGCTCAAAACGTTCCAAGAACATGGACGCCGACCACTTCACTATGGCATAGAAGGGATATCTCCTCAAATCGGCTAAAAATAAACGAATTTGCCTTCAGGCCGATATCAACAAATCTAGAACCAGTTTCCAATGTTCAAAAGATCAGCTACTTGAGCAAGTTGATAGGACACGCAGCACTTTGCATGTGGTAGACCCACAGAAAGTCCGACACGTGTCCCGACGATAATATAGTTTATTTCTCCTTCCCTTCTATGAATAGCGACCCCCGGCACTTGAAGAAGATCATCGAAAAAACATAGAATACATCAAAAAATTAGAAACTGAGAAATATATTTGATCGAGTATATGATAGTTCGATAGCCCTCAATAGGCAAATGTTATAAGAGATCCAGAAGTGACCCAAATCCTTCAATAAATCTTAGTATAAGCGTATTAGCACAAGTACCTAATTCGTCGACAATCTTGCTTTCTTATTTATCTTCTATTCTTCATTTTCTTCCCTGCCTAAATTAAACTAAGGGAAAAAAAACTTTTTCCCCATCTGAACTATAACCATTTTCGCACGTCACCATATAATATTTTTTACAAACCACCACTTGAACTATACGGGTTTGTCAAATTGCCCCCTAAACTGGATATAAAAGTGGTCCTGACTAAGGCTAATTTTTTTTGGCACTTCAATAATTTCATATATTTTTCAAAAAAATAAAAAATAAAATAAAATGAAGAAGCTAGTTTAAAAAAAATAAAAAAATAAAAAAAATGAAGGAGGTGTACGCGATCCGCATTGCACAGGCACAAGCGGGTCTATGACCCGAAACTCGCTCGGCCCAGACGGGATCGAGGGCCTCCACCTCCAACAGCAAGGTGGCAGCGACGACATTATTCCTCCCCCATGTCCTGCGCCACGTCCTCTCCGCCCTCAGCATCGAGATCCTCAAGGCTGCCGGAGAGCGCTCGAGCGGCGGCTCCCTTGACGGCGTCTCCTTTTTCCTCCGCTCCAACTTTCATGCGGAGCCCTCTGCCGTCTACGTGGTCGCTGACGAAACCTCCGACATTGTAGTCAATTAATCGAATATGTCACGACCAATCCCATGGAGATTCTGAGCATGAACACAAAATGCGGGTTCTCGAGATTTTGGGAGAGGAAGTACGAAGAGATTGTTTACCCGATTATGGAGTGCTCGATTTCAGACATCTGGACAGGAAGGAGAAGGTGTTGGATTCTTGGAAATCATTAGCTATTTTTCACGATTTGCTTGTTAGGATGGCGAGCTCGATTTGGTTGCTTCATAAGTTAACCTGCTTTTTCAATCCCGTGATTGAAATTTTCCATGTCGAGTGGGGAGTGGAATTTGTTAGAAAAAATTTGTGTCGAAATACACGGGAATCCTACGAACTGATGTATAATTTTTAGTTCTTAAAAATGAACTAAAATTATAAAATTACAATGTAACCGAAAATAAATTACAACTTGAAAAACGGAAAGATTTTAGCCGAGGCAAGTTAACTCTTTCAGCAAGACGAATACGCCACGTGTAGTGCTAATGGTTCAAGCATACCGTCCCCAAAGATACAACGGCGATCATCTCGAAATCTGTAGCACACCAGATTTACAAGCTCCTGTGGGCTGGAACGGAGTCGAGAATTGAGCACTTAAAATAGGAATAAAATTAACTTTGTTTTGCTATTTTGATAACTGATAATTTTATATTTGATTTTCTCTCTATTTTTCTTTTCTTTATGAATTTCTTTTCTTCTCGGCTTTCCTTTTTCAGTGTTTCTCTTCTTCTTTTTTGTTTCTCATCTTCTCTCCAGAAAATGAACTCTATATTTATAGAGGGGTTTTTGAGCAAGTTGGCATCAATATGGCCAATTGTCAATAGCAGTAACTCAATTATTGCATTAGGCACATGCTACACTAATTGATTAGGCACATATAACCCAATTATTCCAACACATAAGTGCATTATTGGACAAGTAAGTGGTGCAAATTGGGTGTACAATTATTCAAGTGGGACTCACTACTTAATTACACTCAAAATTCTAACAATCCCCCACATGCGTGTAAATTAAATATATGCAATCTAGAGTGCTCAATCCTCACAAAACTGTATTGATTCAGAAAAAGTAGCTTGTGGCTTTGAACCTCTCTTAGTAATCATCATCGGATGCACTGACGGCCTAGTGGATATAATGCCTTGAACTATTCCTTCACAGTGTACACCAAGTCAATGATATTTACACAATAGAGCATTAACTCCATTCTGTTCTACTGTTGTGTCCGTTTCGGCCATGGACAACACTTTGGATTCATAAGTGTTTACAATTGAAGCGGCCCTCACTTCACACTTATATAAGTGACCTCTCTATCAAGAGTATCCTGTATTACTCCACCTTTAAAGGTTAGGGATTCACTAAAAGTCTAAATGACTTACCCTCACGACAATCAACGTGTCATCCTGCACTTGGAGTGCTTTAGGGAATAGCTTTGGACATTCTTATATTCCAAGTGATCAGTTGAATTTTCACAGTTTAGTTTTCCCCTTGAACCAAGTTCATGAGATCTCCATTCAGCAAGGTAAGGTTACCACTATGATCATTCTTTTCATTGTGGATTTTTAAGCTCATTCCCTCTACCAAAATTCTCAATTGATCTCTATTCATTCCTTTAGTTAAAGGATTAGCCAAATTTTCCTTAGACTTCACATAGTCAATGGAAATAATATCATTTGCGAACAATTGTCGAATGGTATTATGTCTACGACGAATATGTCTAGACTTACCATTATTCATGTTGTTTTGCGCCCTTCCTATAGCAGTTTGGCTATCACAGTGAATCATCACATGCGGCAAAGGCTTATTCCAACATGGAATATCAGATAAAAAATTTCAAAGCCACTCGGCTTCTTCACCAGCTTTATCTAAAGTGATGAACTTCGATTCCATGGTAGACCGAGCTATACAAGTTTATTTTGTGGATTTCCACGAAACTGCACCTCCTCCAATAGAAAAGACATCCGTTAGTGGAGTGAGAATCTCTCGAATCTGATATCCAGCTTGCATCACAGTACCCTTCAAGTACATCTGGGTATCTCGAGTATTTTTAACCCGTATTCAAGGGTGTACTTTAAGTACTTAAGTACCTTTTTCAAAGCATTCTAGTGCTCATGATTGAAATTGCTCGTAAATCTGCTCAATTTACTCACCGGTAGGCCAAGTCTGGTCGTGTACAGTTCGTCAGGTACATCAAACTCCCTATTATTCGTGAATATTCTAACTGAGCTACCGGTTGACCTTTATTGGTTACCAAATTTATGTTAAGGTCAAGGGGTGTCCTGCATATCAGACCGTCATAGGCATTAAATTTCTCGAGCACTTTCTCTACGTAGTGAGATTGTGACAAGACAATTCCATCTTGAGTTCTGATAATTCTTCTTCCAAGAATTACATCAGCGTTACCCATATCTTTCATGTCGAAATTTCTTTTCAACATTCTTTTCGTATCCATGATCACTGTTGTAAATAATTTTTCTGGAGTAAAATCGAAAGATTCGAACACCGGGTCATGTCTCACGAGGAAGGTCAGCCGGATTATTATGCGCGTTTACTCAACCACAAAAAGAGAAATAAAAATTCCTAAACATTCTAATTCAGAAGATTGGTTTTGTTTTTAACTTTCAACTACTAAGATTTGAATTAAGCAAATTGGAACAGCAAATTAACACATAGATCAAGCAAGATTTAAGAAGCTAGGGAGTCGGGGATATCCGTTTTGGTTCGAATTGCGACTATTGGGCAAGTGATCGTTCGGTTAAGTGATTTGAATAACCGGCTCGTTCAAGTACTCATTCTCAATAACCCTTCGTAACAAGAGAACAAACTTGAACGGCAAAATTAGTAAGTCATTT